AGAATCCGTTAATAATATTAATATTATTATAATTAATATTATATTTAATAATATTAATATTATTATAATTAATATTATATAAAACATAAAGATGTACTAATTTTTACATTTAATTTTACGAGAACTAAAATGACTAAAGTGACTCTTCACAGTATAATAATTAAAATATTTCTGCTAACGAAGGTCTACGCTTTAATTAACATATTCCTGGTAGATTTTGCGATTTTGTGTTGCATTAAATAAACGCAAATATTGTTTATTGTATCTGTTTGATACTGACAAACAAATGAATTACTGCTCAGAAAATGTCGAAAAACCTTGTTCCCCTTTCAACCATCGAAAATTCGTCGAACGCACGTGAATAATGTCAATGTCGTCTATTCTTTTTATTTTCTCGCTCGACCGACACATCATTAACTATTTTCCATGCGCAGAACACTGTCGCAGAGTGTCGATACTCCAGAATGAATTAAATGCGACTGTTTGAACAGCAATTCCTTGTTCCCCTGGGCCCTTCCGTTCCGTCCCCCTGCCGATGTTTTGTTGCGTCCGTATTCGATTGTTTCTCATCGGTGCTCACTTGGCCGCAATTTCCGCTGGTGGGGTCGATAGATGCCAGATTATAACCTTCGTTTCCGGTTTCGCGCATCTGTTATCGTCGAACACGACGCTCGCCCGTACATATGTACCGAGCTAAACGCATTATTGAGGGGGCCAGGGGGGGACAAAATAATGGCCGGAGTGCAATGGATTATGAACAATCCTTCACGTTTAAAAATAATCGTCGTTCCGCCGTCGGATGCAACTCTTTCGGCGTTCCATGGATGTCATCCGTACGCGGCATTGTTCAAACCGTCGTGTTCAGTAGTCATGACGACCTCGCACTTAATTTGTATGGTGGTTTTCAAGGTTAAGCGTGGGCACAGAGGAAACGATTCAAGCTTTCCGGAAAAAATTGCGGTTTTTAAATGAATGCCTTAAAATTGGCTGTCGTGTAGTTTGCGTAGTTCCGTAAATTAATGGAAAGATTTATCATGCGTTATTAACCTGGTGTATCATTATTAATTTACTAAAATTATTAAGGCGAGAAACGACACTCTCTACTTATTCCTCGTTTGTCACGGTTGATACGGAAACTCTTTGTTTCGCACAAAGATCTATTTATTTTACACTGGTGATATAAATAAAGCAAAACAAAAGAAAATGGAAAATATGGCGTAATAAATTTCTGATCTGCTTACTCGAGTTTGAAAAGAAATTTATGAAAGAGCAACACGGTTTAGTGCATTACGTTGAGTATGCGAAGTTGTGTGGAGTGTTATTTATAGAAATAACATTCTAACTATTCGAACATGATCATCCTGATTTAGAAAAGTACGCCTCCCTGTTAAAGTGAAAGTAATTTTGCACAAGAATAACAAGGTTTGGGAAACAAAAAGCAATTTTAAACGGTACACTTCGTTCAAATGGCGCTCACCGTAGAAATTTTTGTTTTAATTCAGCTTTACAATCGTAATATTCTAAAGAGGTGTTAATGAACAAATATGTATGGATGTATTGAAGGCTTTCAAATTCCTGGATAATTAGTGCTGCACTATCTTTTTTTTCGAAAAGTTCATAGTTACATAATAAAATATTCATGGTTGCATAAAAAGGAATCTGTTTATTAAAATAAAATATAATCTCATTCATCGATTTTCACTGTTTCATTGTTCTGTTCGGGAATAATTTATTGTTCGCAATTGGATGTTCATAATCGGATGTTCGTGTAAGTGAAGAAAAACTTGGCGTGGATATACAAATGTGCTGGGTTATTGTCAGCACGGATATTGAAATAATGCATACTGTTCTTGTTGTACGATGCTTCTCGTTGCACGCGATCTATGTTTGAATTGTAGGGCTTTACACTCATTAAAATTTTATGGCATGAGTCATAGGGAGGTAGAAATCACGCTGCTTGATAGGAAGGGCCAGGCTCAACGTGTCAAATTATCCAGAAATGTTTGCAATTAAATGTCAAAATTTGCAGAGTTAAAGCATTCCGCGGCGATTATTCCATTAATTCTTTTAGATCCCACAAATTATGCCGTGTCGATTGATTTTTAAAGACGAACGTTTAAACGTTTCAACGTGTTAACATGTAGGAAAAATTTCGAGATGCTCGAGTGATATGGTACACGTTGCACGGAGGTGCAATGCGGAGATATTTCTCGAACGTATTTATAATTAAATAGCTTCGCGAGCATACCCTTTGGCGACGAGCAGTCTCAGCACATCTATATGACCTTCAAAGGCTGCCCATAATGTGGGGGTCATTCCTCCGTCATCTCGTGCGTTACAATCCTTTTTCGTAGCTTCTTTTAAGATGTCCAAGGCGCCGTCGCGTGCAGCTCTGCAGGGAAAACGATTATTTCGACATTATCGATGATTATACAGTAGGATTCATCAAACAAAGCATCAGATTTTATCAAGCGCGTTGTACATTTATTGCTCAACAAGCGAGTAAATATATAACAAAGCTACAGACTAATTTCGTTATTATTTTTATATACGTATGGTTGTATTTGAATTTAGGATTGCGAACATAAAGCGCAATAGTAGATGCTAAGAATCTACAAAAACACGAACAATTTTCATACAAAATTCCGGATCGAGATAAAATTATTATTCACATAGCCAGCTATATTTTGGTAAATGACGTCTGAAATTATACAATTTCTGTATTTTATCTTTTACAATATTTAATAGATATTAGATAGATATATATTCTAATTTTTTTAGGCTGAGATAATGAACAATATTAATTGAGAGAATTTTTACTAACGATAAGTTTCATATAGTAGTATAAGGTCAAGACGTTTATTTTTTAGTCGTCGACATTAGTGGTTTAGAAATATGTAATAGTGGCTCACAAAGTAGAAGGCTTTATGTAATCGTATAAACGGTCGTGCGAAAATTGTTTAACGTATTCGTAACAGCTGCATCACTTATCGTTAGATAATAATCGTTTTACGCGTATGCACTTCTCTATCAGCGAGTCGAACAAAGGGGTAACCGGAGTGAGTGAAAATGAGAAAAGAGAGCACAAACTAGCCGGGGAAAGTACGTGTAAAGTTTTAACGAGCTGCTCGCATGATAATTTTCTCCTTGTTGCAAATCATTTAACGAGAACAGCTCTTGACATTTTTGCGTTGCAGGTGCTAAATGGTGTCCAATGAAAGTGTAAGTAGAATGTAACCGACTAACGATGCAGAATTTTGCATCCAATGTTTATATAATTACTTTTTTTTACAGCATATTTATTGTTTCTTGTATTAAATATGTGCGATATTTCTGAAGATTCCATAAATTTCTCGCGTTTTATCTCGTTTGAAATTTTTCTTCGAATTGTAGTCTGAAATATCGTAGCAATAAATATTCAAACACTCTTTCGAGCTATTTATTCCAGTAGTATAATAATAATATTTAATAATAATATTATAATAATAATAATATTTAATATTAATATTAATATTATAATATTTAATATTAATATATTTATATTATAATATTTATTATAATATTATTTTATTAATAATATTTATTATAATATTATTGTTATAATATAATATAATATAAAAATGATATTTAATCTGCATATTAAATTTTGCATAAATATAGTGCGTTGCAATAAATACAGTATTATTTTGTTAGACGAAGTAAACTTGATCGTAACTCCGGGTACGCGAATAAAAATTCCCGCACGTCTACGTGTAAGAATATTTATCAGTTATGAAGTGTTCACGCAATGTTACATAAACACAGGTAATACAGGTCGTTTTCACTGCAGCGACTGCTTCTTGACAGTCGGGATTTATTCAGAGTGAAAATTAATAATCCCATGAGAAAGTGAGTTTACGATCAGAAAGAATTTCTTTCGGTCGTACACCGATTGGCACGAACGTAAAAGGCAGACCAACAAATGAGTTATAATTCTCTGTTACGGCGTAAATATACCATCGAACTTTCGACGGATCTTCCCTTTCATCTTTCCGTGCATCATTCCATTCGAAAACTGCGCATTATCCCGCGTTCTTCTTCGAACAGTGTATCATTCCACCTACTAATTAAACGAATTAACTGTTTCTCCGCCAAAGGTGGTATTCAGCGGTGCCCCTTATAAACCCGGTGCTAGTGGAAGCGGGCTGGATGATAAATCTCCGCGGTGAATCGAATAAAAGCAAAGGCGGTTCTCATGCATAAATTCCGCACGCGCGCCGTTGATGTATAATACATACGACAACAAGATACCGCGCGATTATGCCGATTTCTGAATTCTAGGCAAGACCACAGATTTTTCTCATTGCCCCATCGTTTAGCAACATTGCATACCATTAACACCGTCACCGACCGGAGCTGCAAATCTTTACCAAATTCATCTTTACCGCAATTCACGTGCTGCATCAAAGATTCAGCTACGTTCCAAGCCAGCCAAAATGCTGGACAAATGATAAGCTCCCTACGGCAGCTTATCCGCCGAAGTTCGCCAAAGCAGAGCAAAACCCGACGCTCGAATATCGCGACTGTTGCGAAACATGTTTGTCCCGTTGGACACCCTATCGAATTCAATCCGCGGATCAAGATTTCAGATCGCGGCACTCCGTTCTCATGGTTAACCAGGCATGTCAATCCTTTTTTCGTTCCGGCCGAGGCACAGTGTGTCGCGTATGCGGGCATTCGCGACGAAAATTATACGACGATAAATAATCGTCGATCGGCGCGTGAAAAATGATGCGAGCTCGTTTAAGAAAAGTTCAAGCGACTTGAGTTATTTGCAAAATAAAGGTATCGTTGACAGTGCTCGCTATCGCAATTTCGTTGCCAATTGAAACGTTATTTTATCAAATCGGTGGAAACGCCTGGAAAATTGTGACGAGCATCGCGCAGGGTGCACGCTGTGGGCAACATCGTTGCGCGTAACGTTATGTTGCGCGTTTTAACAATAAATAAGCCGCGCTCGTTTATTAACAGTTCAACGTGAACAAACATGATAGCGTGGTTACTGGGCCGCCAGTTATGCAGCTCTGCCGTGGACGCTACGCCGAACGTCCGAGCACACCTTAATTACGAATTTGCCAATTTTCTTGATTTCGGACAGGCCCGGTCGGCTAAGATTGACGTCGATACAAAGTTCAACGTTCCGGGAAGCATCGTGCCAAAAAATCGAGGACGTAATTCTTGGTAACTTTTTGCAAAGCCTGGCGCAATTTGGTATACATTTAACCGAACAAATCGGTGCAAATCGGCAAAATATTAAAAAGAAAAGACCAAAAACGACGCGGTAATCTGCAAAAATCGAATCGAAAGCGTGTACATTCCGCCAGTGATAATGGTTCGAAGAAATGTCTCGAAGGGGACATATTTTTAACAACTTTGACAACAAGATCAGCGAATTTAACAAATATCCTGGGCAGGATTAAAGTCGACGATCCTTTGTTAACACTTTGCGACGGAGGATTTTGTGAATTAAACGATTCAGTTATTCGAGTTTGATAGATTACGCGACACGGCGCGGCGGGGAGGGGGACAAAAACCTAGCTCCACGACATTTCTCCGCTTCCTGGGTCCCGGGGACATAATAGACATCCTGGTGCGAGCGCGCGTACCGCTGCCAGGGAAACAAGAACACGAAAACTCTCGGTGGTATGCGCTGGCTCGCGAAGGGAAACTCACTTGTGAAACCGCTCGGACGTCATATCTGCCTGGCACTTGTCCCTTTACGGAGATCCTCGGCTACCGATCGTCGAACATCCCTGCGACCCGGGGACTGGGTGTCCTGGCACTGCTCGCGCGGGGGCCTGCTCGGGGACCAAAACGCGAGGATTTAGAGGCCGAGGAGCATGGCTCGCACCGGACTAAAGGAACTACGCGTGCTGAGTATGGCGTCCAGCGGTGCACTGTTTAAACGGGCGAAGGCACTCGGACGATCTTCTGGTGCCCCTCGCCAGATCTGTCCTGCTCTGGAACGATAGTTACACCAGTCCTTTCTCCCTCGTTCACCCGTTCCCGCCGTCTCTCACCTGTATACCGGTCGCCCCGTATGTATACTCGCCGCCACCTGGCGTTCGGTATTCCGTTGCACAGGTATGCTACCTGCATCTACACTACCGACCAGGTACCCCGGTGCATGCTGATTGCAAGAGCGCAAGAAATCAGTTTTCTGGCTGTTAACCCCTCTTGCACCGTAACAACGAGTCGGATTCCTGCTGAAGAAGATTTTGCGTAGAATCGGCTGAACGCGAACGTGTGTCGTTCATTTCTTTCCAGGGTTGCGTTATTAATTCAATTACGCGGGCAATTCAGCTATGTTGATATTCAATTACATGACTCATGATTTTCCTTTCGGTTAGTCTCATCGTTGATCGTTTGAATCACGAGCGTGATTCAAACGCGATGCAATGCAAATACGATGTGATTGAAATACAATGTAATTGAAATATATTGTAATTGAAATATATTGTAATTGAAATACAATGTGACCGAAGTATATTAATTGTAATTGAAATTACAATTTTTTAAATTACAGTTGCGAACTTTGAAAAAGCGAGATACATTTTTATGTACGTCTCTTTCTTATACTCTTTTGTTATCTCTTCTGCGTGTTTTCTTGTTATTATCTAGACATTTATTATTTTTTTAAAATTCGAAATCTTAATTCAATTATATCGTAATTCGAAATCTTAATTCAATTACGTCGTAATTCGAAATCTTAATTCAATTACATCGTAATTCGAAATCTTAATTCAATTACATCGTAATTCGAAATCTTAATTCAATTACATCGTAATTCGTAATCATAATTCAACTTGGTGAGTTAACAAGGTTAATTTACGAAGGAAATTTTGCTCTAATTCCAATTACCGTAAAATGACGTATAAAAATAGGAAATTGCATGTGAACATTCGCAGTCTAATTATTAACGAGTTAGCTATTTTTGACGAGCATACTCGTCATAACATAAAATGTTGTCATTTCTTCATGGCGAGTAGAAGCAGCTCTAACTGATTAAGAAGGATATATACTTTGATATTCTTTATTAAATTATATATTTTCTAAAAGTGTGGTATTTAAAACAAATTACGAAGAAAAGCAAACACATGCAGTATAATTATAGCAACTTGCACACTTTTCAAAGAGATTGCAGTGCTAATGGACGTAGGTGAAAGAAACCGCAGTGCAATGACTCAATATTTGTGATTGCAAGAAAGAATGCTGCGTGTCACATGTTTTCGAGTTCGAGATATCTTATTTGTCTCTCTATTTTTTTGAATTCATCGAATTTATTTTCCTGATTTCTTTCTGATAAATACGTAAACAGAAGACTTAGTTTTACCATGAAGACTCGAAAGGGAACATCAATGGATCTACTCGCACTTCACAATTGGCAAATAGATACTACTGCACCTAATTGTCTATATAATTATCGATCGATAATCTCTAGACTAAATCAATGTATAATTGTAATTATAATATAAAGAATATAAAGAATCAAAAGAAAAAGTAATTAAAAGTGAAGATTTTTAATTACTTTTTCTTTTATATAATATAATAATAATATTAATAATATATATATATATATATATATATATATATATATATAATATTAATAATATTTTATATAATATATAGACAATTAGGAATGTTTGAGAAAGGAAACTAGAAAAAAAGCAATTAGTTACTGAAATGGTCAAATATTTGCATTCCAAATTCTCTCTCTATTGTAGATCTTGCTGACCTTTATGTAGACCAGGCTCGCCATTTTGAAGATGGGTTCACATTCTTGAAGATCATGCTCATCTTTTTGTCAATCAAGTACACCACTTTCCAGATCGATTTCACTTTTTTGTAAAGACGCATTGAAACAGCAAAGTTGTTATTCCAGATTCCCGATTTTGCTGACCAAATTCGTCCCTTCGCGAACGTCTCTCGCAAGTCAAGATTTTCTACGTTTTCTAAAATCTTATCAACGATGATCATGAAATGCTTGATTAATGGTATAGGTAACTTGATCGAATAATGGTTCACATGCAGCTGCCGATGTTAATTTCGTATACATATTTATGAAGCAGGGTTAATGTATCATTAGGTTGCATCATAGAAAATGTGGAGGTGTAAAGTCGTTCAACTTAGCTGGAATTGTTACAACTTGTGGGAAATAGTGATATCCTGTAAATATGTGATTTAAGGTGAATTAGATGAAAAAATGAATTCGATTTCTAAAAAAGAGAAGGTCATGCGCAGAAAGGTGAAATTGCAAACGCTGTAACATCTAAAAATGAGCGATCTTTCATTTCTCTGTTAAAAACGACTTTAAAGAATATATTCAGAGCAGCTGAATAATAAAAACCGGTTTTTATCTCAATATGTTTACAGTTTTTTTTATGTTTACAGTTTCGTCTCTTTAGTCTACGACAGTCTAAAAGTAATTTAGGCAATGTTCAATAGTATTAGATGAGCAAATTTATAATGCTAATTAATGGTAATAAATTAATGGTAAATAATTAATGGTAAATAATTAATGGTAAATAATTAATGGTAAATAATTAATGGTAAATAATTAATGGTAAATAATTAATGGTAAATAAATTAATGGTAATTTCAAATAAGATGCAGATGTTTGTAAGTTTCGATGAGGAGATGATTTCATAAGCCGGGCCTGCGTTTGAGGTACAGTGCTATTGTTGTATATACCGTTCGCCACCTGGTGTATAGTTCTCCTCCGCACAGGTATGATACCTGTTCCTATGTTACCGACTAGGTAGTCCAGAAAAAATGCTACCTGTTTGCAGAACATCGACGGAGTTTGACTACTTTCTAAAGTTATGTCTCGAACAGAAATTGCGATTAACGAATTTTTCTATGCCGCGTAATGATCTTTTTCTGTCTCGATGATGGTTCCGTTGCGATCGGGATTTCTTCGAGTTCAGCACGTAACTGTTTCGGCGCGATTTCCTTGGTCTTGTACAGCTTATTAGAGAACTGTCGTGCACGCTGTATAGTTTATTTTTTAAATTTAGTCGAAATGAAAATAATCGACCATTATTGGAGCAATTTGTTTTTAATCGTATTATCTTACGATTAACAGAAACGTGGATTGCACTGGTGAAAGTTAGCGACGTAGAGAGAGAGGACGCAACGATCGGCGTTCTGTTATCATCTTGCAGGTGTACGATTAGGGTATTCGGCGCTGAGGTTGCGCGATTTCGTTAAGTCCTCTTTCTCGCGCAATGCACAATAAGAAGGATGCTTTCGAAATAGTTTTATTGAGATGTTACAACAATCAGCATGCAAAGATTACATTGAGACCGGAACCATATAACGATGTTGATTTATTTCGACACACCTGTTAAGTACAATCGGCTTGCGAGAAAATCGCTTATGTCAGTTCACAGCGGCCTCATTATTGTAAGAGATACTCTTGAAATATACGTTTCACACGAGCACAGTCGAATTTTCTTTATACCTTGAACCAGAAAATATTTATTGATATGTTCAGCAATCCGTTTTTTAATCGGCTTCATAAATTATAAACATCCTTTCCCGAACGTGTTATTAATTAACACTGCTGATTTTCTGATGTTTTCTGATTTTATTGTATTGACATACTCGGATCTATAAAGTTCATAGATATTTCTGTTTCGGATAAACGAACTATATTAAATTTGCAACGTGTATGATTGTCTTCGAATTCGGTACGTTAGATAATCCGCTTTTGTCAAGGTTATGTCAAGGTTATGTCATCAATTTAATTTATAAAATCACGTTTGTATTAACATTCGTGATCTATTATATTTCGAATAAAGTCGATAATTTAAGACGCATTTCGCGATATCATTTTGTAGCAAATATGCGAAATTGACATCGATCGCGTATTTCACGAGTATCTTCTTTTTAATTGTTTAGATTGACATGTTGGATGCATATAAATATTGCAACGTTTTAACAGCACTGACAATGATAGTAAATAATCTCCGCTACTGTTAGTAATTCTTATTTAATTACGATTTCATCACAGTTTGATTATGTTTTCTTTGGTAAATTTTAACTATATAATTCGAACATTTACATAATATCGTTGAAAATAATAAACGGAGCAATACCAATATGTAATCGTCTTTTTTTTTTAGACATATTAGTGATTGTTATTATTTCTGTACGATTGCAGAGTTACATTTTGGAGACTAATAGATAGATAATGTAGACTGAAATAAAATTCTTCGTTTTTTAATTAATGGAAATCTAACGTACATGGAACAAAATATATCCGGTTTCTAATTCGAATGTAATTGCAGTAGGTAAAATCATTTTCATTTCCTAATTACTTGAAGCTCGCGCAAATTCGAGAATATAATTCTCATTTTAAAATGACAATAAAATGTTAGCCTCCAAAATGGAGCACCGCGATTCAAATTCGTTTCCGGCGCAGACTATTCCTAACAATTTTGGAGGCGAGACCCCAGACGAAGTGTAGAAGCACCTATTCACCCCATTGCTTTTAACAATTATATCACTTTTATGTACACATTCTTTATGTATTTGGTCCACTGAAAATCGACTAAGCAATCTTTTTGTTCTCAGAACGAATAAAAACGAAGAACATGCTGATTTCGAAACATAATTTCATTGTCAATCTTTTCTAACGACACATTCTCGACAATATTTCTATTGTTGTTTTCAAGAAAACTTAATCGACCGTTCGAGGTTCACGTCAGTTAACACAGAATACCTGCGCGCACGATGAATTATTTCTGTACAATAAATAAGTATACTAATCGATACAGTAACAGTCATGGTCGGCTCAAATTGGCCCTCCGCTTAATTAATCGGTCCTTAAAAATTAATACTTCGTTTCTGCTGACCCTAGATTATAGTAAAATACCGAAAAATTGCATTAAATCACGCATTAAATCATACATAAATCGATCAACATTTAAGTATCGTTGCTCCATTTCCAATTTCCCCAGATCGCGGTGCAATTTCGGACAAAATTTCGCAAGCTATACATTAAATTATACGTAAGTTAATTAATACTTAAGAATTGTAATCGATTCGAATTTATACCGATCACGGTTCGAAGTACAGTAATTTCTTCCTAATTCGCGGTCGGATTGCGCACAAAAATAGACAATTCTGGAACAGGAGATACGATTATCGATGGTCGACAACTATAAAAACGCGAGCTACAAGGCTCGAATAATTCTCTTCCCGAATTAAATAATAATAATAATGATTCTCTTCCATTCTTGTGTGCAATCTGATCGCGAATTAGGAAGAACTTACTGTTCTATTAGCGAATAGTATGTAAATGGTACTACAATAACGACTTCGAACGGTCGAGAGATCCCGTTTCAGCACGCGTCGGTACCTCTAGAAACGAATTGAACGTGCGAAAAGAACGTGCGACTCCATTAGCGTCGAATTTAACGTGTTCAATCACCGATATCGCCGTATTATCGTATGAGAGATATAAAAATAGATTTCTACGCACGCTCCGTCAAGCTTTCCGTTTTAAAAAACAACGCACGCATCGCTTGAGGTTAGTGGATTGTCGCTTTCGTTCGATCTTCCTCTTCCCGGCTCTGCTTTCCCTCTGATCGCTGTACAACGTCCGCGAATATCATTCGTCTCCCCAATCGACGGAGAACCCCGATCAAATTGAAAATCGATTGCAATGTCGCACCTTAGTAATGTAAGAGTTACAATCAGATAGGCCGCGTTCGCGTGGAGTTACGAAACGGTTACAAAATAGAACACGATAATGTTCAGACGTTTTTAATTATTGCGATCCTCTTAAACATAACGCTAGGTGTATTTACGTTATTGTATAAACACGGTCCTGTGTGACGTGCGCACGTGAAACAAGTCCGATCGGATGTAACGGAACCGCGTCACACGCGTTTTATGCATCCGCGGATCACGGTTTTATTCGGTCGGCTCGCAAATAACTTCCGCCGTAAATATCGGAAAACGATTAACATCGGAACCGCCGGGCTGTCGAAGCGAATCGTTCTCAGCTTCTTGCAGAAACTGCGGGATTACATTTCTGACGGTCTCGTGCGACTTTTATTACAACATTCGCGACGCGGTATTCAATGATTTTCAACAAAAGCGTTGTCGTTGTGAAACGCTTGCAAAATAAATTTCGATACCTGCAAATAAACTGCGGATTTTCTGTATTTATTGCAAAGAAACGGGAGCCATCTTCGTCTTTCTTTTTAATTTAAATTTCTTCTTTAATTTTCTTCTGAATTTAAACTTCTTAACTTTCTGACACAGATGTGGATATAAAATGAATCGTAATTTATTGAAGGCGATAGAAGAAGAATTAAATCTCCGTGCATTTAATGCAGGCATTTCTTATTTTGCACGAGATACGCAGTCTATCTATAAAACGCTTGCCAAATAAATACTTACAAAATAACGTTTCGTGATAGTAATATAACGAAATCGTTCAAATTATAGAACGATTATCAAGTCTAAAAAAGAAAAAAACGGGAAATTTGGAATACGTGAAATGGAAGTTATATCTGACTGAACCTACTATTGGGTTATCGGAAAGATCGCGAACCTTTTTGAATTTTTCAACTGGAAACTTCGGAATCTATATATACCATCCACCAGAATGGTGCATGATGGTTCGATTGTTCAGACGCAAAAATTCAAAATAAACCTGCTGTTAACACTGAATTTATTTTACACATTGAAAAGGTTCGACAAATTTTCGGTAATCCAGTAGCCTAAAATTGCGCGTCTCTCGATTAATGTGTCCGATAGTCCAATGCTTTGCCGATATTCTGATGCTGGTAATTTAATACGAACAAATGGAGTAATTCAAATGTTCTTAGCACCGCAAAACCTTCTTTCGATTGCGTTTGCCTAGGGTAAACATTTTCTGTACCCTATTTGATAACAGCTTTTCACAAGTATTTACACGGCTTATCGTTTCGTTAGATACCTTCTATGGCAAGCTACTTTGCTAGTATAATTTCAATTCTGACCCTGACACTTCGAACATAAAGAATTGACGTCACATTCTCTGCGTTGAAATACGAATGTAAAAGTAGAAAATGATATCGCTAGTTATACAATTAAAACGTGAAAATCTGATGATTCTGTTTAACAATAACTTATCAGAGAACTACGAGATGAGCTATGTTTTATTAACCCCCCTTGCTGTACCATTTTCGTCATAGTTATACTGATTGCGAGTTTTTCGATTGTAATAATTTCTAAGAAGAGAAAAGACAATTTGTATTTATCCTGTGTCCACATTTTACTTAAATGTTTAAATTCTGGTGACAAGAATTTTATTCAGACCGAAAAGAACGGAATAGCGTTCATACTTAACAGACTCATCAAAGTATGGCAAGGGGGTAATTTACATATGTATTAAATAAATTAAATGTATATATTACTATTTATAAATAAATAAATATTATAATATATATTGTACATATATTTAAACGAATAGTCCAAGTAAATAAAATCATGAATGAAATAAATACTTGCTTTCGATACTTTGAAATAAGCTTTCTATTCTGAGAACTTGTGCAAGAAACCATTGCTCAGAAAATGATATTGCGTTGTTAATTGTTCTGCAACATTTTGGGCTACCTGTATCAAACACAGAACCCAATGGGGTTTATCGATCTGACTCTATGTTATCATTTTACAATGACAACAGTGAATGTCATTCTTCCTGTACTCTATACGTAGAGAACATTTTATGGAATATTCCATGAAGAAGTTACAAATAGATATATTTCCTATGCTTTCATCCTCAAAGGTATATATTCTCATATTATACACGTGTAAAGTTGTTTAGCAACAATTAGACTGCAGACTTTGATGCAGTTATAGTACACAATCCCCTCGAATCAAGTATAGCGAAGTGTTTAGGTAACATTTTCGGTGGGGATGATATAATAATCATATTATATATATATATGATATCATATATATGATATCATATTCTATATACCATATATATGATATAATAATCGTATTTGCGTTATGATTAGGATCGTATCTGAGCAAACGATTCTTCTTCATTTTCTCACCCGCTATAAACTAGCTCATAAAAATTTGTATTTACGTACGCGTTTGCAGTAGTAACCAATGTACAAGAACAGAAGTTGGTTATTATAATTACTAATCAGTATCTACGCGTATAGAATACGAAATGAGCGAACCACTTTGTTCTTTTTATATTTGTATACAAAATTCTACTGGTTCTCGCTGAACAGCTTGCAACACTCATTTTAATAGATTTCTATAGTTATATAGAGCTTCGACTATTGTTTATGGCAGAAATATGTTTCACAATTTGACCGCAACTTCTACGTTCTATAGCATCTCTCCATTTCGTCTGTTTAGTTCTTATTTTACGCAACGTATTTAATTATTTGTCACCGGTTTGGCAAACTATCGTTCGGTCGGTTTAATAAAAGAAATATTACACGTTCATACAGATGATTGTCTTCGAACTAAAGATTAATCTTGCTCTCTCGCGCTGCTCTCTTTCGTGATCGTTCGAGATTGTTATCACCGACGCTATTTATAACGTAACGATAATTTCACGATTTAACCAGCTAATCGGTGAAACGAGTTCACTCGTTACTGCTAGTTGACTATACTAATTGATGTTTCTTTGCATTTTTGGTTTACTCGATCGAGAAATTCTTCCACTAAATTGCGCGGTTACAGTTGCATTTAGTATAAATAGCATAGAAACGAGGGACAGGTTGCATCGTGAAATTTTCAATGATTTTAAGAAAGCAATTAGTTTCCTAGTTGTCAGATTTATAACATGTACAGTTAATTAATAACTTTAGGGCATTTTAAAAGTCATCGACGAATGAACAATGTCTTCGAGCTTACGTAAAAAGATCATAAGTGTGACGAAACGCGGCGTAGACTCAATTTCATTTAGGAAACGCGATGCAAGTTTCAATCAACTATTCTTGAGAATTCTATTTCTCGAGAATTTTAATGCAATATTTATCAAATTCCTGTCAGCTGTTTATCGGTAGGAACGGCTCATGTTCTAACAAACGCGTCTTCAAACGACAAGGACATAACAGTGTTTCGAAATCTTTTAAATCGTAGATCTGGAAATGAAAGATTGTCGGGCCGTGACGTATACAATGACTGTTCTCTTCGATTGAAATAAATGCGCTTTTATTTTCCGTTTTCGCGAGCTTATCGATCGAAGCACGCCACACTCAATATCATTTTTAAAAACCGTTTTCTACCAAGAAACGTTTACCATTTGGAAACGCTCCATTCTCCAAAAAACTGTTCAGTTGCACGAACTAATGTATAAAGTATCGTTCGTCTACCATGTTCAACAGTTCATCATCTCTACCCGCATCTTCCAATTTGATAAAATCCAGAATATCTACATTGTTTTAAAAGAATGAAAGCGTATTCATTTCAGCCAAAGAAGACGGTCACTTCACAAATCACAATCGAATACTCGTGAAAACTGGACAAACATTTAATATTGTAAAGAGACACCTCTTAGAGCTATTTCTTTGAGCTATTTAAGAAAGTTAGGCAACCGTTTCTGGATAATCGATAGAGACTCACGGAGTCTTTAAACCTCGTCATCCGCTATGTACAGCGTTTCCTCGTGTGGCGAGTAATCTCGGAAACTCTCACTAACAAACCGATCAGTTTTTTGATCGTTCGACCTATGAAGTTCCACTACCAAATGGCCCATTCTCGACGAGTTGTATCGTTCATTCCCGTTACGACAGTCCGTCGAGTTTTCCGCACAATTATCCGGGAGGTTCTCCAATTCGGGTTCCTCGAGCAAGGCGTCGGCCTCGGTCAGCCCTTCGGAAGAAATGGCAACGACGATTTGGTCGTCGATATCGATTCCGCGGCTTTCATCCGAAATATCCGCGCGACTGCCTTCGGCGTCGACAGAGGTTCTCGTGAAATACTTGAATTCGGAGTCCATTCCGCCGGTCTCGATCACCGCCTGCGTATTCAGCGAGTGTCTGCTCGACTCTTTGTGGTGTTTATCGAAGGATTGCCTTCTATTGTCGTCCGATCGGGACTGATAGAGCTTCGGTTGACGTTGTCTCTTCAGGTTCTCGCCGCTGTTCGTCCTTGATCTGATTCCCATCTCCTCCGACAGATATCTCGTGCAATCGACGCTGAATCGGTCTACCGACAATTTTCTGCAATAAATACGTTCATTCATGTCGGTCGTTCTCATATTCTATCGGATCATCAAAAATGTTTTCGAAGCTCAGGCATTTTTGCGGAGATGTAATAATCTCTGATATACGCGATTTTGCTATAATATTTGATGCTCAGGACATCGCAGCCTTTCAAACAGTTTGAGCGATTAACCTTCTTATTTTTTAAATATTAATGTTTGTTCTATCGAGATCTGTTTTTATTACAAGAACGATGAAACGCTATTTTAATGTGTACCTTTATGGAAATTATATATTTGTAGATGGATAATGTTTAGGGTATAATCAACCCTACATGGTTCAGTGGGTCGCTATTTTTTACCTGGCTCGCGGAAGGTTAAACGAATTTGAGAAAATCGATATATTATTTTCGATTTGTCGAAGTTCTTAAATTTTTTAATCTATCCGATAATTAACGAAAGATAAATAGACAATTCATTTTGAACTAACGCTAATATGTTTGAAATAGCGAATTGTGCCGATAAAAATATCGTAGAATGAAAACTTATTGTTGATATGTTTAAAAGCGCGAACGGTGGGGCATACAAAAATCTCGATAAAGTGCAGAACAATTGTGACTCAGAATTGTTTTGTCAATTAGCATATACTATAAAATGTAATTTTAATATGTAGTTTCATGGCATTAGACTTAAAAGATGTACATGGCATTCAATTTGAGAACATCTTATTTCTTTTATACGATAACTTATATCATTTCGACCAAAACTCGACTTATGCCCTTTCGCCCGTCCAGCGAAGGTATATTAACGTTTGAAAATATATTCCGGTACCTGTAATCTCCCCTTCGGAAGTCGGGGCTCCTTCTGAATTCCAGACTCGCTTTCCGTTGACCCATTGATCTTTCGATCCTACGTTCACTTCCAACTTTATCGAAAGACATTTTATGGAAGCTCGGTGAGGAAATCTTGCGGAAATCTCTGGGAGAGACTTTCATGAGGTCTTTCGTTGCAGTCAGCTCCTCGACCAGTCTTATATCTATCGAGTTTCTTTTTCCTAGCATAAAACACCCCAAATGTTTATTATATTCATTGGTAGATAGGATTTCGATAGAATCATCAAGTTTTGCTGTTGTCTCATTTAACGTAACTTATTCTTAGACTGCGGACTTAACGCATTTATTATCCAATTATTAACCCAGAGTATTAATATTGTTGCTTGACTATCTAATTTCGGACAATTAATTTAAATGTTCATTTGTTTTATTAAGGGTTGATAATGATATAGTAGGTCGGGTCATAAATAACTAACTAAACTATATGTATATAATACTATATGTATAATACCTATATTATTATTATTTTATATATTATTATTATATTCTCTCTATATATATATTATTATATATACCCTATATAATAACCATATAATAACTAACTAAAGTTATAAAAATATAATAACTAACTAAAAAACAAAAGAATAAAGAAAACAAAATAAATGTCTGATAAAGAAACAGAAGTTATTTATGACTTCGTCGTATTGTTTGGTCGCGATTTCTTTCTGGAAAACAAAACTCGCGAACTTTGATGGTCTGGCAACTGACCTGCTAGATTAGGCGAGTAACCGCGAGTGTTTGGTGACCAAACCGATTCATCCACTTCTTCCACCTTTGTCTGTCGAAGCAGCTGATGTCGTCTAGCGGTGTCCGACCTGTCCTTCACTTTCAGTGTAATAGGACCTTTATTGGGGATGTGCAAATCCATCGCCATCGAAATTTGGCTGCCACCCATTTTCTGTTGCTCCAAGCTCTCCCTGCTCGTCTGTTTAAATTGTATTAATTATAATATGCAGTCATCCAACAACGCACAATTACTCCGCGTGCTCGTAACATTCTCATCGTCGGTTTAAATTATATTAATTATAGCATGCGGTTGTTCAGCTGCAAGAAATGAAAATTTGATTGCCGTCAGATTCCAAATTTCATGCATTCGTGGTAAACAGAAACAGTTTCCACTCGACCCTCAAAATTATAAAAGCGTTCATAAATATCTAATTACTGCGTTCGCGAACTAATAAAAAATATCTATGTTCAACCGTATAATGTTCAACCCAATTAAAACATTAAAACAGAAATAAACTTTTAATTCACTTCTCCGTTCGTCGGTAGAACATTTTCGTTTCGCATAAAGACCCACTGTTTATTCATAATTATGAAGTATTAGTTGCAAGAATTATTTCCCATTAAAGTGTTATTTCAATTAATGATTTCGACTCATACATAATAGATACGTTTAAATATTCTTCTATTTAAAACTAAAGAATAAAATAAATCTTGAAATACTCTCTGATATTCATATAAAATATTGAAATCATTATTTGTAATATTTTTGATTTGGAATGCACCCAGCTTTGTTGGCTAGTTAAATCATTAAATAAGTGGCTGGATAAACAAAAGTCTAGTTTTATTGTGTACCTGATGTGTACTGTAGCTAGGATTGTCAACAGACAGGGCATGTCTTTGTAGTAATTCTGGATTTAACAGTGCGCATCCAGCGTACTTCGTGGTTCTTTTGCGGGGCGATTTTTTATCAATTAGCGTGGGCGCGCTGGGACTCTTTTTAATACAGTGGCCAGTCTGTTTGTCGTCCAGTTCCTTCGAGAACTGCATAAACTCCGCCGTCAACTGTTTCCTTAAAACCTCGTGGATGCTTGGACTTGGACTCCTGTTCACCCTGAACACACCAAGTTGGTGGTCCCATTTGGTCGTCTGGCTAGATATAGATCTTCGGTTCCGTTGGTTTTTTATGCTCTTTATTGTCGACGTTTGATTAAAGCGAAAACGCGCTGGCACCACTTTGGCAGCGTTATCACGAGCCTCGAAGGTCATTACGCAAGCAGCCACTACGATAAATCCTGGAAATTTGCATTACGTTACTTCTAAACTGTTTTAATGACTCAAGAAATAATTTTTAATCACTTCAAAATAATCTCTAATGATTTCAATATAATCTCCAATGATTTCAAAATAATCTCTAATGATTTCAAAATAATCTCTAACGATTTCAAAATAATCTCTAATGATTTCAATATAATCTCCAATGATTTCAATATAATCTCGAATAATTTCAAAATAATCTCTAATGATATCAAAATCATCTTTTAATGATCTCAGATCTCAAAATATGATTCGAATTATTTTTGTGAACGCAAATGATGGAACAATATTAATCTTAATGATGGCTCGCTGAGAATTTGTCCGAGCTCTAACAATTTACTTTACATTATTTATCAATACAAACAAACTGAAAATAACGATTTGATTGTATTCTTGATTAAGTTTGAGTATTGCGGAACTGCGTTTATTTTTGTGAAAGATATTCCGGAACGTTAAACACTGTAACAATTTCTTTTACTTTTTAATTTTATATCTTATGCCAGCACGTAAACAATCTATTTTGAAGACTTGAACGTAAACAAAAACATGATTTAGTATTTAATAAAGGAAACTGGTTAAATGGATTTTGTAAGAGTTTTTACATAGGCACCTATCTTTATCTGTTAATTTATTATTATCTAATATGTTAAAAGACAAGGAAAAACGTAAGCAAATATTTAAACTATTAAACATTGTACAAGTTTAAAGGCTGTGTGTATCTACTATTTAAATACTATGTTCGTTCATATTTGAATGCTGTTTTTTTGGAGTTAGTTCTTGACAAAATGTATGTATAGTTCGCTGTAACACAGTAATTATAGTATAATCTAATTGATAATCAAGACTTTTAATTTCTGTGTGATAATTTATTCATAGATCTGTGTATCCAATATGTGAGCATTTCAGTACACATATGTCTGAGATATAAATCTGCTCGACATTGGTATTAAATTGTCTTTCATCTACAAAAATCATTTTGAAGTTCAATTATCATTATATATCCACTTTTGAACTAAAAACAATTGCGATATATTGTTCCAAAACTATTTTAATATCAGTAATTTGATCGCTCCGTTCATATCTTAGTATCAAGCGCAAGAGTACTGTGGGCCTCCATAGCTCAGGGGTTAGAGCACTGGTCTTGTAAACCAGGGGTCGAGAGTTCGAATCTCTCTGGGGGCATACTTTTTTTTCTTTTTTTCTCTTAAAATATATATCTGATACGCGTGCCGGAGTCGACGTTGTAATAAAAAACCAATAGAAAATTTGTTTTCATGCCTGAGAAATGTACGAAAATCAATTTTTCATATTTAGCTACGTGCCCCGAGGACTATTTAATTATGTCTGTCTTATTTGATTCAAATTGCGAGTACAATGCAATGATATAATACGTAAATGCATTTTTTTGAAGGTTCCGTTAAATTTTATTTGCATATTTAGTAATGTATAGATTAAAGTAATCATTAACGCATAAATGAAAATTTCGTATATTGAAAATAGCATGAAATAAGTGTTTCAAGTTATCGTTTTCTCGATGTTAGTGTTTATATCGCAGTAATATTTTTAACCATATTTGTTAATAATGACAAAACTTCTGTATTCTTAATTTCTCTGTGTTTTATTTACAATACATTAAAAAATGATACAACCTTTAATAAATGTAGCTTGTGAATTGAAAATGTAGATATGATTGAGAAGAAACAGTATACATATGACATACAAGTAGTGGACGTTACCTCCTACGCCCATAACGATTGGTCCAGCATAACTAAGGTTGTTCAGATGGAATCCGCGTGACTCATTCTTCACTCTTATTGTTAGATTGCCTCTAACTTCTTGAGCCACGGACAGCTGATCTGCGAAGTAACCTGTATGACAGCGCATCATTAAAAAAAATTTATTGATCGTCCTGGTAAAATGGCTTGAAAAATCTAATTACATTTCAATAGCTAAAAATATGAATTCAATTCTGTCTATCCTTACAAAAAGAAATCTTATCTGTCACAGTTATCAATTTAACTGACTCGTTTTACTTTGATTCAATGAATCTCAACTAACTAATTGATTTGCCATCTTAATTAACATTAATAATATTGCTACGATCGAATCTCTAGTAATTTAGTAATCTCTTGATTGTTATTTAATTGTAAACTTTATAAATTGCAATATTCACATACACAAGGCTTATCGAAGAAAGAATGAGTACACTTTATCATTGGATAATATGAACACGTCAATGCACATAAAATGACGTAATAAAACATACGCGAATTGTGTGCGAAAAGAACGTAATGTCTGTGAATAAAGATAATCAATAGTCTGTGAAGATGTGTGTAAAGATTTCAATAGTCTGTGAGGCTTCAATATGTTTCAGTTGATATGTTTTCGAGACCAAGAATAATTTCGTAATGCCTTTCGAAATACATTACATTTGATAACTATTATACGTACATTAATATTTATAAGCGAGAACGTACATGATAGGAGCGAAAAGGAGAGTGGGGAAAGGCCTGGTTGTGAAAGTAGATCTGGCTGTAGTCGTTCTAGTCAGTTAGCGGATAAAATCACCTTTCCGCCATTTGCATAATATTCTGAATCACGAATGGGTTTAGTGCAGCACGTAGTCGGCAATTCAGTACGAAAGAATCGAGTAATTTGTAAGGAACGTTGAAAAAGTTGACAGAAAGAAATATCGCTTGCGTTCTATCTAAACACTGTAGATATTGTACATGTTCAAAAATCTATTAAGAGATTTGTACAGGTTTAGATTAACTGAAATTTAACAAACGTATGTGAAGAAAACAAAGTATTGATGCTGTCTTAATAATTAGTTAATTTCGTTTGCAAGTTTTTATCACAAACTTGAGTTAGTTTTCTGTCTCATTAATTAAAACTAAAGAAGTATTGGAGAAGGCTTAAAGGAACTTATTAGTTTCTAAAAAGATGAACTTTTTAAATACATTATAAATGCTTGCTCGACATCTAAATTAAGATCATTCGAGAATACTACTTAAATTAATGCTTACTATCAGAATGGCACGTGAATTTAAGTGAACGCACTATTTTACTAACTAATAATATTTGCCTTATATTACTCTACGTTCGTTAAATATTTTACATTGTTTGTGAAATAGTGGATCGATTTCTAATTCGTTTGTTACGTTGCAGAATCTACGGTGAATACCATAAAGAAGAACGCTACTTTTTACAAACGGTTGCTTCGTGTTCGTGTATGTAATTTGAAGAAATCAGATTCGCTCATTCCGAAAAATACATAAATCACGAAATAATCTAGTACTACGCATGATTTACGGTATTACACATACATATTTGTCAAAATTGTCCTGCGTTAAAGAAAAAGCCTGGCCGATAGTGAACGCTAAAAATGACTACTCACCTATAGTCGCCATGCAAGCTCCTAAAAGCATTAATAGCAGGCCAATTCCAAGAGCTTCGCAGGCGTACCACAAACACCTTGTTGTCACCTTGTCTCTCACCACCTATTCAATTTAATTTCATCGTGTCTGTCAACAGTTATTCAGTATTTCTCACGTGAAATCTATGGAATAGTTACGTAGTAATGCGCATTTCATCTGTTCGATCGAATACTTTTTTCTTTTTTTAATGAAGAATAGCACTAATACGAACATTTTCTTTGTAACATTTAAAATTGCAAACTTGCTACTTACAACTTATTCGCTATGTTACAGAATGGTTATTAAATTCGGTACGAAAAGATAATAATATTTTTTATATACAGTACATACGATGTGTCTTATTTGAGCAAGAGTGTCCATGCTGTAGAACTTGATTACGTTAAAATGTTTACGACTACACGTGATAAATTAAAGGAGAGTAAGGTAAATCTTGGATAATTTAAATTTTCTACAAGGCAACGATTTTGGAAAAAAATGTGCAACGGCTACGTTTTGTTGTCTACGTGTACTTGAGTAATCACGTTCACTGACGGAACAATACAATAGAGTTAACAAAATATTAATCTGAAAGTTTCCTGTTTGGTAAAACTTTTTGAATTTACCTGGACATTCCAGTGCGCTCCCGGACCGCAGGCTCTTCTCTGCGTCCCTTGGTATTGTATGCTTCCTTGGGGCATTTTGCGCTAAAGTTAAATAAATTCTGCGTTATTTACGGCGGCCGGCGGGTTTCATTAAAAATTCTATTACGGAGAAAACGTGGAGAAAAAATTGCCTGGGTAAACGTGCGATTACATGCAAAAATTCGAGATGAACGGTAGTTAGTAATACTAATTGCAAGGTTCGACTACGATATTAACAGACTGTGAATATTCGTGCAACAATTTTCTCCATCGATAGAAAGAAATAGAAAGTTCTTTGCTTCTGCACTAATTTTAAGCGATTTGATGTTAAAACACGATTAAATCCAGTGTTTGCTAAATAAGCTATTAAAGTTTAAAGCATCAATGAATAAATAAATAAATAAATAAAATCTTTTAATCTTCCTACTATTTAAAATGTCGTCTACTCAACTTTGTTATAAATGCATAAAGTTCGTAGTTTAGTTATTAATGCTCTTAGTACTCAATCTTAAAAAGTTTCTTAGCTATTAAAGTTTGAAGCATCAATAAATAAATAAATAAATAAATAAAGAAATAAAGAAATAAAATCTTTTAATCTTCCTACTATTTAAAATGTCGTCTACTATACTCTATCATAAATGTATAAAGTTCGTAGTCTAGTTATTAATGTTCTTAGTACTCAATCTTAAAATATGATTTCTTACGCAATATAAAAATAGCCTGCACCGATTGGAAGAAACAGAAACTAACTTTTTAACATTCATTTCATCTTTTTACTATTTGAAATTGCAACTACTCGATTTTGCCATAAATTCGTAAAATGATTAGATTAAAAACACGACTGTGGAGACGTTACAAGAGTTTGACAGTATTTCTATACAATGTTCAACTTGTCAAAATTATTAAAAGGCAGAGACATTTTTGTCATTTTTGTCGGTATTATTAACTTAGAGAATTTTTATTTTGCATAAAAATTTGCACTCTAGTTATTACCATGTTAACGTGTAACTGAGGATTTTATCGTTAATTACCACAATTTTCATGGGAGAATATTTAAGTTACAAGTTTTTCAACCGTAATTTTCATCTTTTTCAAAGCAGAGGCTGGGCGGAGTTTTAATAATGCGGGAACGAAACACGAATACAAGCCGGAATTGAGGTCCTTCGTTGTAGAAATATGTAAAAGTTAACACAAAGTTATACACGATGTTCAACTAACAGGTTATATTAGCTTTGAATAGAGTAAAAGTGGGTAGTAAGTCGTGAAGTCTTCGAAGTCTTGCTAATTATAATTAGGAGTAATTAATAGTATGATAATAGCATCGTAATAATCGTAGTATAATAATAGTACAATATCGTAGTATAACAATAGTACAGTAATGGTACTATTATGTGCGCCATTGAATAATCTACGGTTTATTTGGCCAAAATCATCTAAGGAAATTAATCGAAAACTAATTAACCCGATTTGATTACGCTAAGATATTATACATATAATTCGTAAGATGAACCAGTTGCGCTACGTTAGAATTGATTTCTTGATGCATCTGTGTCGCCAACCTTGATTTCTCATCAATTCAATTTTCGTAATGATGCCCCACCTTTAATAAGTACGAGAGCAGCAAAATATTGGAATTGACCTATATGCCTTAATTGTTCAGAAATAATTCAGGGACGGTTAGAATTATTACTTGTGAATTAATATTTCCCTGATAATATTATTGTTCATAATAATAAAATAATAAAAGTAACATCCATACATTTGGTCACAGAAATATTAAATATCAGAAATATAAAAATCTGTTTTTAATGAAATTTCTTTCGATTGTATATAAGCCACAATCGAATAAACTAAGAAATGTTTATCAAAACTATATTGTGATTTGTATTCTATTCGAAAATCTACAATTTCATGCAATTCTGATATCTTTGCGTGTAGCTACATAATTCGACACAGAGTTACGTAATTATTTATGCATGTTTGAGCACCCTTTGCACGATTGATTTATTCATACGCTAAATCGTGTTGCATTTCACAGATCGAAATCTGATTCGAAATTAATTAACTTATTACGATCGTCGAGTGTACGCGTTTTGCCGCGCAAAGATGCAGCGCACCTGTAAAAATAGCGTGTTTTTATTTACACGTAATGGCGATTTTTGCACTCAGAACGGAGTGGCATAATAAATTGCTCACTGCCTCGTTTCACTTAACTGAGGACCGACGCTTCTCGTCTTGCGCCGCGAGGTTTAATTCAACTTCGCGATGCACGCATATAGTACCTGTTATAGCCTTTACCACCCTCGCCCCATTCATTCACTTTTACATAAGGGTGGGTAGGTACAGTCAGCCATGCACAATGTGTACATGTAACATTATCTGGCAGCGTGCAACGTGTGCGTAGCCATGCTTGTGTCTAATTCACACACAGTGGATAGAGAAGCATTGTTCGCCCCCTGTTTCGTATCTTTGAGCGCGGAAAGTTCGCGTTTTCCATCGATCCAAATCCTTTACGGCTTCCCCCGCAATCTCTCTTTGCGAAACTTCCCACCAGCCTACCAAGATTTCGCGATCCATCACTCTTCTCGATAACACTTTTAACGGCGCCTCAACAAGCGAGACAGAGTTGCCAAATACGTACCACCGCTCACCTAAATCGTAGTTTGTAAAGTAATTCACGCTCGTTCGTCGCATGCAACATTTAGAGACAAGTACACGTAGCACGTCTCGTTGGAGCAAAAGTAATTGCTGTTACAAAGCGTCAACTCTAAAACTGTATTCATGTTTCAGCTTAAAATAGATTGCACGCGGATGAATCAGTATCATTTGTATTTATGCAACATTGTCAACAACAATGTATATGCGATCATTTATTTTATTGGCATAGGTTTACGGAGCGGAGAGTAGTGAACGAGATCTTTAAAAATATTTTTGGACGCTGCTTCGTGGAAATCTTCACGAAGAATTTGTCCTGGTGCTTTGAATAATATTGCAACTAATTTGTGATTTTATATCGCATTTTGTAAATATAATAGAATAAATTAGAATCGTCTCCGTCTAAAATGGAAATATCTAAGTGACATTTAAACTATAAGGAAGATCGAAAGAATTTCGACCTGTAATAAGTCGATATATAATAATAAACTATAATAAACTATGTCGACCCTTTTCAATCTATTGAAACCATTACATAAAGAAAGTTATTTGGCTTCTTGTTTTTTACAGTGTGTGCGGAAAATTTGTATTTCGCATGCATAAAATAGTACTTTAGCCCCAGAAATACTATTTAGTCAAAATAGTAGAATATTCATTTAGTTTATTAGCTATTGTTGGAACTTCTTCACTGAAAGTGTTGCGTATCGTTATTTCAAGCTTAGCAATTTCGAGTAAGTTTTACACGAATATTGTGGTTTCTATGACTAAAATGAAGTAACACCGCTGCGATCTAACAGTGTTTACATTATCTGTCGATGTCCCGATCCAATGGCACGTAGTTTTTACATTTTTCTGTACGTTCAACTTGATACTGTGGTCGTGTATGGCCGCATTGATATCATTTGCGGTCGTGTTTGTTTTATCGATTATAGCAATCACTGGCCTGTTTACCATGATTGTTTTGTCGGTCAGTATTGTCAGCGGTTACCCAATACATTTGGTACGTTCTGATATGGTCACTACTATCTTTTTATAAACAGATTGGAGACGTTTAAATATTTAACGATACAAACAGAATATGATCTGACGAGTAAGTATATTACGATTATGTTAAAGATAGAGGGCTGAATAAACGAATTTTTGAAAAGAGTGTTGAAAGCTGGCTCTAATTCCATATTACCAAAACATAAATAAGATTTCACCACGACGAGCTGGCACTGTATGGAATCTCTTTACAACCACACAGTTATTCTCTGACTACATGTTCTATCTTTAATCTGGTGAATGGCAAGAGAGGAGGAAGACAGGAACGAGAATTCAGCCAATTTACTAAAATCGATTCCACGCTTCACTAATACCTGTTACTTGCTCTGAACGATGTAATTTTAAACATGTGGTATAATTGCAATTCAAGCAGAGAACTGAATTCCAAGAACGTTGTTCATTTGTTATTAACTCTGTTAATTAGGGCGTACATTGCTACTCTTCAAAATTGTAAACGAGTAATTTAATCATTGAAATAACAAAATTGATTGTTACAATGACTTATCTCTTGAAATAACAAAAGTCTTCGATGTATGATCCATATTTCTAAGTATAGTACGCCTTTTTTAACAAATTTCTGCACACAAAGGATTGAAAAAGGAGTTCTATTATTATGAGAATAAAAAAAGCATTTTGGTTACAGAATGGGTAATAATTAGACTATAAATTATTATGCAAAATTAAATATGTTTGTGCATTAATTAGAAGATATTAGCTATATAGATGTTTATTTAATTTCTTAATCATTTTAATGAGTTGAAAATAAGGGGAAAAGTATTTCCAAATTATTTAAATGCTTTCATTGTCTTGTATTCAATCTACTAATATTTGTTATAGATGCATAAAATCCGCAGTCCAATAATAGCATACGTTAGTACAAAATAATATTTAAAAGATGTTTTCATTCCCCGAAGAAATAAGAAGTAATATGAATTACTTTCTTCATTCAAATGCTATAGAAAGAAATACGTTTATAATAAGAAGACTCACTACACAGTGACGTATATTGAAAACCTTTAACAAATATTTTCACCTTGAAGGCCTTCGCCTTTATCACTGCCCTCTAAAAATCCGATAAGTTGTATTTGAAGAAACAGAGATGTTAGAATTATATATATTATGCAATTATTATAATAAATGGAAATGGATAACAGCAGTCACGCACTCGAGATTACTTCATTGCGTGATTAAAAAGTTGTATTGCCCGCGTGAATGCCGAGAGTTATAAATTCTATACCCCAGATAACAGCTGTATTGTCCTATGTAAGAGATTAATTTCTTTGTGGCAGCCAGAGAAAGATCTTTCTGCACGTTTTCTCATTAGGAACTTGATGTTTTATTTAGGCAACAGAGTGGCTGCACAA